GGTAAGATATGTTTATTTTGTTATATTTCTTCAGTTGATTAGGTGGGGGTGGGGGGAAGTGGTGGGGAGGCTACACGGTCACGGCTCGCAGAAGTACACCGGTTTCGGACGCGAAGTACACACCTAGGCCTAGTGTAGGGCAGGAGCCCTAGGCCTGTACCACCTTAAAAATCAGTCTTATTTTTAATAGTACTAGAGTAATGATATACAACCATTACTCACTTACTAGGGCCCAGGCCTGTGTTTGCATTACGTCTGTCTTATTCAGTATCAACATCGAGTAAAATTTGTATTAACTATCTTATGCACTACGGGAAAATAATAATTTTCTAATGATTATCCTCGTCCACTTATTGAAGAACTAGGCCTGGTATATAAATAAGACGTGTATGATTTTATGATTATGGAAGCATGTGCCATTACTGTAATTTAATGTTTGATTTTTTTTGTAATGTAAATTGCAAAATGTTTGTTTTTTAAACTAAGAGCGAAGTCCACCATTCACTTGTTGAATAATCAAAGTGTAAAAAATATTGTTTTTATTCTCAGGACGTCGCAAATCCAGAAAAGTCTACAGACATTTCGGAAAGGCACCAGGAACTCCACACTCCAACACTAAGTAAGTTTTAGCAATATGTTATTTCACATGCTCTTCGCAAAATACATGTTTATACTAGTTTTCACTATATTCATTGGTTTTTTCCTTATTTCATTTCCAACAGGCCATATGTGCGTTCCAAAGGCAGGAAGTTCGAGCGTGCTCGTGGTCGTCGTGCCAGTCGTGGCTACAAGAACTAAACAGCTGTTTTTATGCCACCCAAATTCTGATGGGATTATGTAAAAATATAGGAAGTACAAAAAAAAAAAAAAACCAACTGTTTAATCGACCATGGAGATTTTACTTATGTCTCTGTGATTGGACCATCTTAACATGTGTATGATCTGTTATGATAAATAAATCAGCTCTACAAGAAATAATGCATCTTGTCTTTTCTTGTTGGGTAAAGAGAGTCAAGATAGAATTTATACAAGAAAACATCTACTGTAATATATTTAACTTTATTCAAATATTGGAATAAAATATTACCCATACCACCAAAAATAGTGATTTAAATTTTCAGTAAGAAATTATTACCTAGGATATAAGAAAATTTAAAAATTTACTCTATATACATTCATAGAACAGAATTTTTAAAAATACATTGCAATACAGTACTGTACCTGAGAAAAAATAATTTTAAAAAATACAGTACACTGCAATACAGTACTGTACCTGAGAAAAAAATAATTTGAATATGTTTACAAATTTCACCTGAGCTCAAGTCACAGCAGGAGCAGTCATTCCAGCTGCAACTGACAAAAAAAAAAGG